ACAGTTTTATTTTCCATTTATTGCTGACTATTTAATATCAAATAAAAAAACTAACTGTGTAAACAAAACATTAATTAATCCAGTTATCTAAATTATTTTTAATATTTCATCAAAGTTACCAGCGAAATGAGTAATAATTTGCCTGTAAATTCCATAAGTGAAAGGAGAGATTACAACAGTCATAAGTTTCCTAAAGATTTAATGAAGTCTGTATGTTTTCCATTATTTAATAAGTTAAAAATTTATTATTAGTTGAGTACAAATGAAATGATTGTAATAAAAAAGATTAAAAATGATAAAAGTTTAAAGACATTTTATAAAATACGATCTATTGATGTGTAATTATGAACTTTTCATTGAAATTATTTTTAGAGTAATGTAAAGTTTTGTGTGCTTAATTAGCAATCACGTCGATAAAATCGTATTGAACATTTATTTGTCCATTACGCATGTGGAATTGAGAGATCAATTTAACAAAAATAATAGCTTGATGTGAAACTGTCATAAGATGTACAGCTATTGTTGTTAATATTATTTTTTAAAGATCTCCGTTTATTTAGAATAACTCATTTAAATAATTCATAATTAAAACCAACATTATTGGATATCGTTAAACCTTAATAATGGCAATAAACAGTTACATTTAAAAAATAATTGTTGTACGATTTTATTTGTTTACAAAAAAGTCTGTAGCAAACTAAAATTTCATGCATGTGTGTATATTTCTAGATGTCAGGCCAGGTCGTTAAATGAATTTCATTATCTTAAAGTACCTAAATCTTTTAGTAATTAGTCTTAAATTAAAGAATGTTGAATAATAAAACAATTATGTTCTAAATGGTCGAGCATGATCTGTCAGCATTACAACTGCTCCAGACACTGACTACGTATTGCTTCAACTATCACCTATTTATCATTGGGTACCAGTTCATGATGATCCTGAAAGTCCTAATGATAGTGATGGTAGATACTGAAATAAATAATAACTGTCAATATTTTTATTATAATTATACTTTATTTATAAAATTATACTGATAACAAAGTTGATATATCTCCGTACTTATTCATAAGTCGGAACTGTTATGTCATTTTCATTCAATATAATTAATATTTGATGGTTATTTTTTTGCAAATATCGTCTTCGTATAAATTTAAATAACTCCAATATTTCATCTCTCGTACTATCTTTTCGTATGTATATATTCAGTGGCGGTGATGTACTTAGTTTCTCTTCTTCATCTATTTCAATAAATTCAGTGGGTATATTGTCTAGCTGATTAGATACTATATTATTTTCTTTTTCTATTAGTTTTTGAATTGCTTTCAAGTTATTTATGTGATGAAGGCTATTCTGGTTCTCCGGTTCTATTTTATTTTCTATTGAACTTTTGTAGATATCGGAAAATTCTGCCAATTCTTGGTCTGTTTCACTTGTTACTGTCTTCTGTTCTCTCGGACAAAAAGTTTTTCTTTCTAATTGATTCCACGTTGTTCGTCCATCAATTTGTTTGTATTTGATAACGACTAAAATTAACCCAATTAATATTACAAGTTACATAAATAAAATGAGAAAGAGCAGTATACATGTCAACTTACATAAAAAAAAATTTGGATGAGGATTTTTTGGTAATAAATTATTCAACCCTCTATGGTATGATTCGATACAATTATTTGTTCTATCGTAATGATTGCCGTATACAGAAAAGCCAGATGGGGTAATTCTTTTTATCCAATAATTTTCGTAATATTGTAAAAACCTGTCAAAATATGTACCAAATTCTTCTGTGCATTTTGACTTAATGGTGCAGAATGTTGCTGCAATTTGTTTCAATGGTATTAATGCTAGGGCTATTAATTCTTTAATAATAATGTAAATGTCAGGGTCTGTTGCTGGATAGATATTTTTACCAATGACATGGAGCGATTTCGCCTTTTTGATTAAAGCCTACAAAAAATTGTTCTTTATTTTGTGTCAAGTATTAAAAAATAAAAACACAGATTTTAATAATTTTATAGTATTTCGTACTCACTTGAGAATAATGATAATAGCAATGTCTGCCGACAATGTTTGGGTACACCTGTTTTATTGAGTTATGAATGGCTGATTCAAAATCTGAAATGTACACTTCTGGATGTATCATTGGAAATTTCGTCCTCATGAATTGGAATATGTTAACATAACATTTTTCGGCTTTCCGGGTCATCATTATCCACATAAATGGAATAGCCTGAAATGAATTAAAAAATAGTATTACCTCACAAGAATAATATAACTATTATAGTAAGTCAATATTTATTCTACAGACAGATTTCCTTCAATGTAACAAAAATTTTTCAAGAACTTCAGAGACAACTATTAAGTATTATGATAGATCACTTACTGCTCCTTTTCTATCCGCTTCATTACCAACTCTTGTCATAATTGTCAGCAACTGCATATTTTTCTGTTGTAATTTAGGTACGCATCGATAAGTGGCATCAATCATAATCGTCTTGATTTTCGAGCTCATATTTGTAATGAATTGTTCATCAAAAAAAAGTATGTTTATTGCAGGAATGTTGATTTTTTCTATTATAACTGTGAATTTCTGAATTTTAATTTTTAATTGGTACTCTTTTCCCAGTCCATATTGTAGTTGATTATAATTTTCTGGTAACTGTAAACATTGGATAAAGCTATCTAAACTGTCGTTCAAATGTTTTAAACTGATCCTTTCTGGTTGCAATTGCTGACAATAATTCTGAATTGATCGACGAACTATAGATAAAGGTTTCTCAGCGGCTGCTTCAGGAAAACTAAAAAATTTTCATACATACATTTTTGTCATAAAATAAATAAAATATTTTTATGTGCAACAAGTAATAACTTACTGCATTTGTACAGTTGCGTATATCTGACGAGGAGTAGTAAAACATACGCAACTGCATTGTTTCAAACTGCTTTGAAATTCTTGTTTTTCTGTTAGCAGCGGGTCGTGTAAATGATTATGATCATGGTTTTCTTGAAAATTATTGTTGTGTATGAGGCCTCGTCCGTTACAATTTTTTTTTATGCATTTTAAATATCTTGACATGATACAAAACGAAAAAAAAAGTTAAGAAAATAGTGACAACATACTCTTAACGGTTAAATAGTTTCAAGGCTTTTAACAATTATTATTTTTTAAATTATTTTCAATAACAATTCTACATAACATTCATTTACTTACGTTGTCATAATACCTTTTTTGTTTACGTGTTTTTTGTCTATATGATATGAATATCCATTTATTATCCATTCACCACTATGTGGTTTTCCTTTTGATTGAATTTTTGGATTTATTTTCATTTTTTATTTTTCCACAAATATTACAGAACGTTTCATTAAATTACTAAACTAATTTTCAATGCAATACAACATTTTTCGTTACGTGTTTTTCAGTATTTTACAGCAATTTTATTTCGCATTCGTTTTTGTCCGGAAACACCGCAAAGTGCCGATGGCGCTTAGTTCTAATTTTAAAAAATTGTATGAGTGACTTAATATGCGTCGTATAGAATAAAGTAAAAGAATCATTAAAAAAACAAAGAACAGGATTCTGTCGCAGCAAAGCGTGGTTAATTGTACGATTAAACCCGTCTAATAAAAAGGAAAATCTAAATATGGATACAAACGGTGCTGAAGTATTCTGTAAGTAAATAAATTCTTTCCAAATGAGTATTAAATATTAAAAATATGATAGATTGAAACTGCTGAAATCATTAGATGATGTCGTTCGCAAACAAAGAGTTGCATTTGTAAGAGATATTTCTTGCAATCTTTGTACAATTATTAGCATATTCATGCATGTTAAGTATATAAATTAATTACATATATTCATTTTTCCTCGCGAACATTATTGTAATAGTTACAATTCTTTTTAGGGGGTCAACACAATGACATTATTTTAGCTATTATGAGAACTAATGATTTTCATAAAGAATTCAATACACGCAACTGGAATGACGTCTTCAACTTGGTGGATGAAAATTATTGGAAGTAAGTATGAAAAACTTTTTACAGTATTGAGACGATGATAAAGTTTGTATCGCTATAAAATTTAATGCAATAACATGATTTCTTTCAGCGAAATGACAAGAGATAGCAGGTTGACCAGACAATTCACAGCTGAACAATGCTATCAACGCTTTGTTCGGATGGTTGAAAGATATAACGTAAATATCAGAATTATAATTTTATAGATAAAGTACAATAATAATAAAAATATTGATACTGATTATTCATTCCAGTATCTACGATCACTACCAAGGGATGAAAGGAGAAATAATTATTATCATGTGTATAAGTACATCCATTGGTATTATAAGTATGTTCAACGGAAATATAATGAAGATAATATCCGCGATAACTTATAAGGACCTGTCTTAATTAAATCTACTAGTGAACATAAAAAAATTATGTAACTAAGAGTTCTTTTGTAGCCTTTAAATGAAACACTATGTAAAAAAACAATAAATAATAAATATGAAAAAAAGAAAAAAAAAAATTTGACCAATTGAAATCCATGTGCTTTTATCCTTGCAATTATCAAGGTCTTAAAAAAAAATAGAACCTCATTATCTTATCTAAAAAAATTTCGGAATATATTTCGTAATAACTTATCAAGGTGAAGTAAAAAACATAAAATAGTACATCTATTTACACTATTTACAATCATTTCATTTGTACTCAACTAATAATAAATTTTTAACTTATTAAATAATGGAAAACATACAGACTTCATTAAATCTTTAGGAAACTTATGACTGTTGTAATCTCTCCTTTCACTTATGGAATTTACAGGCAAATTATTACTCATTTCGCTGGTAACTTTGATGAAATATTAAAAATAATTTAGATAACTGGATTAATTAATGTTTTGTTTACACAGTTAGTTTTTTTATTTGATATTAAATAGTCAGCAATAAATGGAAAATAAAACTGTTCAAAGTAAAAACAAACTAATCTAATATCTTCACAAATGTATCATTTTGATATTAATCAGACTAGAAATGAGTGCCATATTCGTTGTTGTCAGGGCTTTGGTCATCAGACTTTGGTGGTTTTTCAACAATAACCACAGGCAGTGTAAGCGGTAGGGAGGAAGACTCATCTGGAAGTGAGTCTGGAGGTACTACAGTAGGTGAGGGTACATCTAAAACATCTTCACATGCTTCTTCGTTCGATGTTTGAAGAGCTCCACAGATCATCTGTTCTTCTAGAGTCACCTAATACCTGAAACACTTATTTAACATACGTTTTATGATTATTATCTTATTATAAATAACTTGAAATAAAATTTCACACAAACATAATAAAATTTTTATTGTTCAATGATTATTACTAACAAAAGAGTCATTTAAAAAATCAGATTGTAGTGTCTATCAAAACAATTTAAATAATAATCAAATATAAAAAATATTACAAGCTGATTTAATCGTGACTTTTGCAAACACTAAAATGATTGTGTTTCTTACTTAGAACTAATTCCGTACGTCATGAAATTTTGTGTACATGATAAAAGTAAATAACTAAGTATCTGATCATTTGATATTATTTTAAAGTATTTTGTTTTTATACATTCTTACCTGCTTTTCCATTATTGAATATTTTGTTGGATCACGTCTTGATGATCCATCTGTTCGACTTGTGGGCTTTTCTTTATCTCCATGAGTGGAATATATTTGAAAACTACTTTGAGACTCTCTTGTTTCTACAAAAAAAAATTGCAAATGTATGAAAAAAAGTATTGCTTGAATACTGAATTAAATATTAATTTAAAATTGTAATACCTTTGCGGTCATTTGGTTCAGGTCGTACAGTAAATCGTACACTACGTGAACCTTCTTTACAAACTGAAAATACTGATCGTTCCTGTTCTCGAAGTGATACAATAACTATTCGGAAAATCTCCCAGTCACCAAAACTTATATTAAGTACTTGTTTTAATTCTGATAAATCACAGTGGAACAAGACTTTTCTAGTAATATTATTTTCTCTAACGATACTCTTATAACTCTTTACTTTATTAGGGTTTAATTCATCAATTTTTGATAGAAGATTACAAATATTATTGACAGATAAACTTGATAATTTTATTTCAAGAATTTCCGATGGTAAAGTAGTAGTCACTGGAAGAGGCTTAACTGGAGGTTCAGTTGGTGGTATTTGGACCCAAGGATGATGCCAATCATAGACTGGAGGAATAGCCCAAGGTCCTAATGGTGGGAATGGTGGTCCCGATAAACTTGGAGTTTTAACTAATTTAGCATGACGATTTGTCAAATTAGTTCTATTTGGAATCCATGACTCATTTGTCTTTTGCCATTGATTTTTATATATTCCTAAATGAACATCTTCTTCAATACTTTGTTGCTCTTCTTTTATTTTATTTTTTATATAAAGATCAAGATTAATAGTAAATGGCAAGAATATTCTCATATCACTAATTAGAAGACTGGAGCGATGAAATATTAGAAAAACATCGAGTTTACGCTCATCTCTATCCATTTCTAAGAGAAGTTGAACGTTTTTAAGTACTGGAATTTGTGAACGAATTCTAAAATAACAAAAAAAAAGTTCAAATTCAATTTGTTTGTTCTAAACATTTGTCTTCAGACAATTGAATCAATACTTACTTATCATACAATGTCTTCAAAGACATTGAATCTTCAAAAGTGTCTTCATACATTTCATAGTGAAGAATCATCCAAGAAGGTTTAAAAGGCCACTGCACAGTAATATTGATCCAACTAGCTAAATGATACCAATTAAAGTCAATCTGGAATGCTTTTAATAGTCTTCCTGCAAATAAAAAATTTATCACAATATATTTCAATTATTTTAAAATATGAAAAATAAATGTGAAACAAAAATTACCCATAACATAAAAAACATTCATTAAACGTCGCATACTGCGTGGATTAACATCACTGAAATAATCATCAGTCAGTAGCATTTTATTTAAATCTTGAGCACCTCCAAAGCGATTTAAATTACTACCAATGCTGCTGGCAATAGATTTATTCAATCGCATCTTTCGGCTACCTCACCTGACTAATTAATTTGTCTATTGCATTTGCTTGACACTCCACGTAAGAATATGAGCTTCGTTTCCAATATTCATTGCTGGTACACCAATCTATGCTAACTCTGAATATGTATATAAATGGGTTTGCATTCTTTTCCAGTGACCATGTAAGTGATCTTCAAGAATTTCTTCTTTTAACATTATAATCTGTCAAATGTTTGTTTTTAAGGCTGGGCTGAAGTCAGAAAGGCGACTGATTCCCCCTATCCAAATACACGGGATCGGGATATTTCTAATTTCTTCGCCAATTTACGATTATTTCTATAAAATTAGGTACCAAATTACAGAGGAATTAATGCCGGACTGACGTAAACAACAATTTTTTGTATATAGTGAATATTTTTATTAAAAAAATTAGAAAAAATAATGAAAAAATTATGAATTGACTTGCCGCGCTTAAATTTCAAGATGGCGGCCACATCATTCAGATGAAAAATCACTAATTATTCTTTTTTAAACGTTTTTCGCCCAAAATTCGTGTTTGCGTCAGTCTTTGCCACCTGTCTGAATGTCAAAAAAATCAATTCATAGTATAAAATTGAATAATTTAGAAATAATTAGAAATATTGTATTCCAGATGATATTCTCCGGAAAATTAGTTTGAAAAAATCCTGATAGGTGACAGCATTATGCTCGCAGATGACTTCAGTCATTCATATTGAAAAAATGCTCAATCCGTATCCAGAACTGATGGTGCCCTGCATTTTGGTGAGTAATTTGTGTATGAGTGTGTACGGGTGATATATGTATGTGATGTAAACATAGTGTATCGCTTTACAATGCCTTATACTTTGATGACTATTGCAGTTAGAATAAATGAAAATGATGATACTCATTTAACATTAATTAATATAATACCTGCAAATAACTTTAAATACATATATTTATCCATTATTATCATTTTTATTAGGTATAAATGTTAATAAGGAAGCTCAATTCCAAGTCGGCGTATCCAAGCATGAAGTATAAAAACAAATACACATAAACTCAATATCGAGATTATGCTGGCCATGTGGTTAGAGCGTCAGAGTTCTATTTTGCCGGGCAGGGTTCGATCCCAGTCATAATCACTTTTTTTTCTACTTTATTCGTTAGATTAGCATGTAATTATAATATTGACATGCCATAATTAATCCATGATAATGATTTGATTTTTTTTTCTCTTTACTCATTGAATTTATTGACATTAAGTCGGAAAATATTTGAACAGAGCCATAAACTTTTTTTTTGTATAAATACATTGATAATAGCCTGTGTTTAACAACTTATACATCTTTACATGTATTAACAATGTTATGTTATTAACAAGTTAATCATATTATTATTAACATTGAAAAGTAGTTTAAACAATCTGTGGCGAGTTTCGGCACTTTCCCGGCAAGCTCTACCCCCACTCTCTGTGCCCAAGCCTGCAGATTATAATTTTTAAGCATATATAAGCGTATTGAAACCATAATAGCTCAGTGGTTACAGCATCGGTCTTTTATTTTGCTATAGTCCAATGAAGGGATGGCCGAAACTACCATTTTGGGGAAAAAGAATGAAACCAACGCGAAAATGTTCGTAAAAGTCGTAGGAATATTATTGTAAAAAGTCAGCATCCTAAACGTAAAGGAACCCTTGCAAAAAAATTGCGAAAGCGTGCAAAAATGACTTTTTCGGTAATATCTCGAGAACGGCTGGAGATATGAAGAAAAGTTTTAAGTAAAAGTTGTAGAGAATTAAATTCTCTACAAAAAAGTATTTATACATTTTTTACGTATCTCTTACCGTTTATTAATTATACGCCATCAAAGGTACCGTGGAACGTCGAATTTTTCAAAAAATTATTGTAGATGTAAAAAATTTTTTTTTTAAAAAAGACCAAATCAGAGGGCTTCTTCATTACTCTGACAATATTTTTAAAGGTAATGAGCTTTTCATTAATTAATATTAATTTGAAAATTTCAAATTAATTTTTTTTACACTTAATCGAATTGAATTTTTTTTTTTTCTATACCATTCGATTCAGCGTAAAATTTACGTTAAAGTATGCTCTCGTACTTGGATTTCCATTTTAATCCACGTGAGATTGATTAAAAAAATGAATTGGGGGGACTTTCATTTCTTACGGTACTGCCGCTGAGAGAGAACGACATATCTCTCCTTCTCATTCGCACTCATTATATTTTTCTGCACATGCGCGGCGCATAGAAAAGTGTAAGTGCGAGAGAGAACGGCAGTATCTTCCGTTTCACTTGCACTCACTACATTCTTCTGCACATGCGCGGCGCATAAAGAAGTGTAAGTACAAGAGAGAACGGCAGTTTCTTCCGTTTCTCTCACACTCACTACACTTTTATACACATGCGCGGCGCATAAAGAAGTATAAGTGCAAGAGAGAACGGCAGTTTCTTCCGTTTCACTCACACTCACTGTACTTTTAAACACGTGCGGAGTATACGACAAAATATAAGTGCGAGTGAGATCGCATACTCCGCTAGTGGAAGCGCAACAGATAGAAAAGGGCCCATTGAATCCTACTGTAAACATATTAAATTTTATTACTGCTATTATTCTAGATGAATAGTCAGCAGCTATGGACATTCTTGATGTTGAGTCGAAAATGCTTTTTCACTCAAGTTGAAAATCTTTAAAAATTTTTCTAAGTTTTTAAAATAATTTCAAAGCTATGGAAAATTGGGTTAAAAAAAGTAATCATTTTTATATATACACATCGATAGAGAATTTAATTCTCTATCGAATGAGATCAACTTTTTTTTTATTATTTATATGTTGCAAAATACAAAAATTTATCAAATTTTGCAACATTTTTCAACGATAATGTAATTATAACATTGTTTCATACATGTGTGCAAATTTTTAAATATTTTTAAAAAATTTAAAAAATTCTTTTTGAAGAATTAAAGAAAAATTCTTTATAAGGAAAGAAAAATTCTTTTTCAACAATTAAAAATTATTATCATAAATAAAATTACTACCATCAAGCTGTAAATTTACACACATATTCACAACATTTATACAAACATGTATGCAAATTTTTGAACTTCCCCAACAACCGGAAGTTGCCAATCAAATTTATTAAAAAAAAAATATGTAAGAAAAGTATCTTCTTCTTGAAGAATTAAAAAATATTATCATCAATCAAATTGTTTTAATACAACTGAAAATTTGCACCCATCTTCTCAAGATGTATACAAACATGACTATAAAATTTATTAAAAAAATATAAATGTATAAAAAAAAATTTCTTTTTTCGAGAAACAGGAAAATTATGTTTTATTCTTTATAATTTCTCTTGGCTCCAAAAATGTGAGAACATCTGACTATTTTATGAGTCTCACTTACGCACATGCGCGGATCCCTTAAAGCATGATGGTCTGTGGCAAAGTAGGGATGCAGGTATGGAAGTGTCAGACCCATGCCTTCGTTCATGGACCCCTCCGTCCAACAACGACGATGGCTATAGATTTTGCACTTCGGATTACACACGCAGCATATTTCTAATGTTGCGCACGCACTGTTCTTTTTGCTCTATCTAATTCAATAGGTACGACTGAAATAGATGAAACATAGTCCATTTGCCTTCGCTTCGGCGTCATACTGACTTTACTTTACCCTCAACATTCTGTGAGTTTGGTACGATTTTTTACGTTAACAGAATATTAGTAATTCCTTATTCAATTATTTCAACATTCTTTCTTAACAATTATAAATTGTGTTTGTGCGTATTGTACTTTGTGAGTGTACGTGAACATTGCAGATATTACAAACATCAGAGCTTCTGGAATTTTTTTGGAGCGTCACCACGTGTTCAGCGCAACGAATATATTGCATTGAGTGTAAGGTACATATCCCCCATAATAATTATTTTATGTCATTATATTTATTGCCATGCATTCATACGATGTTACTTATTATCTATTAATTATTTTTTGCCAGGGTAATTTCTCATACAGTTCTTTCCATAAACAACTTATACGCTCGTTATGCTAGTTATTGCAATATTAATGTATGTCAATATCATTATTGGAAAATAATTTTTTTTTCCTTTCCAATACGATGCTATATATATTACATTACATGTATGTCATATATTATAGTTTCATACATTAAACTATAACGTACTTTTGTTGTTTGTGTATACCGTTAGTTTCACTTTTTCGTTATGACGCATTCAACAGATTCGAACTGATGCCCATTACCTTTTGAGTCAGGTATATTGGGTACTTTTGACTTTGAAGCGCTCCTCAGGTAACTTAACTAACAGCTTGACTCTGACAGACCTTTTCTACTACTCAATTTTATAACATAAAGTCCCACATAACTATATGTCACAGCTTCAAATTTTTTTGGTATTCATTTTTTTTGAAAATTCATTTTTTTAACGTCAACATTCCCATTTTATTGCAGATTTTTGAAATATAATGGATTCTTCACTTTTGTGCTCCATTTGTTTGCAAGAACTAGCTGCCGACTCGACTACTGTGGTTTATGAAAAAGGACTACAAACGTTGATTAAAAGAAGCCAAGAAAAAGGTGACGATAAATGGAAGCAATGGATTGGTAAACAAAATTATACTTTTCATATTAACTGTCGGAAACGATACGCTGTATCGTTAAGAGAACCTAACACAATGTCGTTGCGACAATCTTCTGAAATAGTTTCTAATCTGCAATCAGCAGCAGACGTAATACCCTCTTCTCCCTCCGCCTCTGGATCATCTACATCATTCTCTGAATTTCAAAATGATTTTCAATTCGACAAGCTATGCTTCATATGTGGTAATGTATGGGATAAAAGGAAACCAGGATCGATCGTCAGCGAAAATAGAATGAAAGATCGTTTCATTGCTGCTGCTAGAGAACATGATGATTCTTTTGGAGCTCCTATTATCGCACGTCTACAAAGCATCGAATCTATTGTTGCAGCGAAGGCACGATATCATACAACATGTAATATAAAATTAATATTACCACTCTACAAAAAACCCTCATCTACCAATAGTAAAGAAACAGATGTTACCTTTCAAAGAATATATGAACATATCGAATCTAGTGGTGAATTTAAATTTCGTTACTCGACTTTAAAAGCACTAATGGACGATGATGATAATTATGAAATTTCCACTCGAACTTTATTTCGACATTTAAAAAAAAAATATGGAGATGACATTTTTATATTTCAACATAAAGGCAAAGAACCAATAATATTACAAATATCATAATATGGCACAAATTTGTAGCGATTGGTATGGTGGTAGTGAGTCTGTCAGTGAATCCGCCAAACGAACTATACTTCAAGTATGTGCCGAGATTTTACAAGATGAAATTAAGAAATTTCGATACAACACAACAACTTATCCTACACCTCAGGCATTTCTCGATACTGTTACATCAGACATACCTCCACTTCTTAATAGTTTTTTACACAGATTAATAATAACAGATGGAAAGGAGCAGTCTCATGAATCTTCACTTTACATCAAAATTGAAAATCTTGCCCACTCTATTATATCAGCACTTCGCCCAAAATCATTTATCTCATGTCTTCAATTATCTATAGAAACGTACATTTATCGTAAGACGGGATCAAAATTAGCTATAAATTTATTAAACAGATTAGGAATATGTTCGTCGTACCATAATATTCAACTCCACGAAGCTTCAACGATTATTCATCCACAAACAACTAAAATCGAAAATGCATTTGTCCAATATGTTTTTGATAATACTGACCACAATGCCAGTACTTCAGATGGTCGTGAAACCTTTCACTGTTTAGGTGGCATTGCTGCGTATACTCCAGCTGATCATATTTCATATGAAGGAAGTACAATTAAAGAATTACCAAGCTTTTGACCAACAACACCGATTTAATACGTACAGCATTGGAGTATGAATTATCTCCATTTCCGTTATCATTATTCGATGAAAATGGATATATGAGGAAAGGAACGAAATCAGATTTATATGATGTTTTTGAAACAATAAACGCTAGTAGTAAAATTTTGAAAGAATCCGTTTGTGTCATCGATGGAGGATGGCTATTACACCAAGTACAATGGCCGCATAGTAAAACATTCCGAGATATTTGTGATCTTTATGTTTCATATATTCATCGACATTTCCCGGAAGCATACATAGTTTTTGATGGATACAGTAATGAAAATGTTGCTGTAAAAACATATGAACGATTTCGTCGTAATGAAAAAAATTTTGCTCCAGATGTTAATATCAATATGGATTTGATGGTATTATTAACACGTGAAAAGTTTTTAGCAAATATTGCTAATAAACATAAATTCATAAATTTACTAACAGAATCCTTGAGGCAATCAAACATTCATGTTGAAGTGGCAAATGGAGATGCTGACACATTGATTGTAACTACTGCAATCGAATTGAAGAATCGTGTATCAAAATCGGTAGTAGTTGTAGGTAATGATGTCGATCTCATTGTTTTATTAGTCGGTCTGACTTCACCTGGCACAATCATATATTTCTATAAAATGGGATCAGGTAAAACTGAGAGCAGAGTTTATGACACACATTCCAATCAGCTATTCAAAGATTTCATTCTATTCGTCCATGCATTTTCTGGCTGTGATTCAACAAGTGCCCTATTTAATAAAGGCAAAAAGAGATTAGTAAAGCTGTTTCTCGAAGATGCACAATTAACAGATATGATAAAACCTTTTTACAGTAGTAACAGTGAAAAACGAATTTTGTATGAAGTTGCAGAAAAAATAATTTTCCAGCTTTATCTTAGTAATAATACAAAAGAGCAACCTACAACAATTGCTGAACTAAGATACTACTTATTTAATCAAACGATATTCCATAATAATAAAGAATCGTCATTAGCTACTTTACCTCCAACTCAAGCAGCACTTCTAGAGCATACAAAAAGAGTCTATTTACAAGTACAAGAATGGCTTGGAAGAAACATGGACGCTGAAGAATGGGGATGGAAGAGAATATTCCAAATCATCATGTATCCAGTGATGACAACAGCACCGCCCGCACCAGATGTACTACTTGAACAGGTAATTAAGGAACGAAAGTAATTTAAAGTCTATGAGTAATTACAAAGGTACTGAAAATAATAAAATTATATTCCAGGTTCGTTGTTCATGCACGGACTGTTCGAGTAGCCGTTGCACGTGTAAAAAGAGTGGTATTCGCTGTACTCAGCTTTGTAAGAACTGTGAAGGGAATGCTTGCGAAAACAAGGCGATACAACCGGCAGAACAAACTGCAGAAATTTGTGAAGAAGAAGAAAATAATGATGAACTTGAGGCAGAAGAATATTTGGAGGAAGAGTCGGAAACGGAGGAGCAAATCGAAGAAGAGTTAGATCACACTAACACTGCTGAACCGATGGAAATCGATTTCGACAATTATTAATTTATTATTAAATAAAAATACAAATCTAAGCTCACTTTTAATTCGTTGTATTTATTTATATCCACAACAACTGTCCACAAACAAATATTTAGTAAAATGATCATGGAAGGTGTGCAAATTTTCAGTTGTATTAAAATAACTTTATTGATGATAATATTTTGTAATTCTGCAAGAAGAAGATATTTCTCTTACATTTTTTTTTTTTAAATTTGATTGTCAACTTCCGGTTATCGGGGGGAATTAAAAATTTGAACGCATGTTTGTTGAAGCGATGAGAATATGTGTGCAAATTTTAAGCTTGATTGTAGTAATTTTATTTATAGTGATATTTTCTAATTATTTAAAAAGAATTTTTCTTTCCTTCTAAAGATTTTTTTCTATAATTCTTTAAAAAGAAATTTTTTTTTATAATTGTTAAGAAAGAATGTTGAAATAATTGAATAAGGAATTACTAATATTCTGTTAACGTAAAAAATCGTACCAAACTCACAGAATGTTGAGGGTAAAGTAAAGTCAGTATGACGCCGAAGCGAAGGCAAATGGACTATGTTTCATCTATTTCAGTCGTACCTATTGAATTAGATAGAGCAAAAAGAACAGTGCGTGCGCAACATTAGAAATATGCTGCGTGTGTAATCCGAAGTGCAAAATCTATAGCCATCGTCGTTGTTGGACGGAGGGGTCCATGAACGAAGGCATGGGTCTGACACTTCCATACCTGCATCCCTACTTTGCCACAGACCATCATGCTTTAAGGGATCCGCGCATGTGCGTAAGTGAGACTCATAAAATAGTCAGATGTTCTCACATTTTTGGAGCCAAGAGAAATTATAAAGAATAAAACATAATTTTCCTGTTTCTCGAAAAAAGAAATTTTTTTTTATACATTTATATTTTTTTAATAAATTTTATAGTCATGTTTGTATACATCTTGAGAAGATGGGTGCAAATTTTCAGTTGTATTAAAACAATTTGATTGATGATAATATTTTTTAATTCTTCAAGAAGAAGATACTTTTCTTACATATTTTTTTTTTAATAAATTTGATTGGCAACTTCCGGTTGTTGGGGAAGTTCAAAAATTTGCATACATGTTTGTATAAATGTTGTGAATATGTGTGTAAATTTACAGCTTGATGGTAGTAATTTTATTTATGATAATAATTTTTAATTGTTGAAAAAGAATTTTTCTTTCCTTATAAAGAATTTTTCTTTAATTCTTCAAAAAGAATTTTTTAAATTTTTTAAAAATATTTAAAAATTTGCACACATGTATGAAACAATGTTATAATTACATTATCGTTGAAAAATGTTGCAAAATTTGATAAATTTTTGTATTTTGCAACATATAAATAATAAAAAAAAAGTTGATCTCATTCGATAGAGAATTAAATTCTCTATCGATGTGTATATATAAAAATGATTACTTTTTTTAACCCAATTTTCCATAGTTTGAAATTATTTTAAAAACTTAGAAAAATTTTTAAAGATTTTCAACTTGAGTGAAAAAGCATTTTCGACTCAACATCAAGAATGTCCATAGCTGCTGACTATTCATCTAGAATAATAGCAGTAATAAAATTTAATATGTTTACAGTAGGATTCAATGGGCCCTTTTCTATCTGTTGCGCTTCCACTAGCGGAGTATGCGATCTCACTCGCACTTATATTTTGTCGTATACTCCGCACGTGTTTAAAAGTACAGTGAGTGTGAGTGAAACGGAAAGAAACTGCCGTTCTCTCTTGCACTTATACTTCTTTATGCGCCGCGCATGTGTATAAAAGTGTAGTGAGTGTGAGAGAAACGGAAGAAACTGCCGTTCTCTCTTGTACTTACACTTCTTTATGCGCCGCGCATGTGCAGAAGAATGTAGTGAGTGCAAGTGAAACGGAAGATACTGCCGTTCTCTCTCGCACTTACACTTTTCTATGCGCCGCGCATGTGCAGAAAAATATAATGAGTGCGAATGAGAAGGAGAGATATGTCGTTCTCTCTCAGCGGCAGTACCGTAAGAAATGAAAGTCCCCCAATTCATTTTTTTAATCAATCTCACGTGGATTAAAATGGAAATCCAAGTACGAGAGCATACTTTAACGTAAATTTTACGCTGAATCGAATGGTATAGAAAAAAAAATTCAATTCGATTAAGTGTAAAAAAAATTAATTTGAAATTTTCAAATTAATATTAATTAATGAAAAGCTCATTAACCTTTAAAAATATTGTCAGAGTAATGAAGAAGCCCTCTGATTTGGTCTTTTTTAAAAAAAAAATTTTTTACATCTACAATAATTTTTTGAAAAATTCGACGTTCCACGGTACCTTTGATGGCGTATAATTAATAAACGGTAAGAGATACGTAAAAAATGTATAAATACTTTTTTGTAGAGAATTTAATTCTCTACAACTTTTACTTAAAACTTTTCTTCATATCTCCAGCCGTTCTCGAGATATTACCGAAAAAGTCATTTTTGCACGCTTTCGCAATTTTTTTGCAAGGGTTCCTTTACGTTTAGGATGCTGACTTTTTACAATAATATTCCTACGACTTTTACGAACATTTTCGCGTTGGTTTCATTCTTTTTCCCCAAAATGGTAGTTTCGGCCATCCCTTCATTGGACTACTAGGCAGGGTTCGATTCCAGTCATGATAAAGTTTTTTTTTCTCTTTTATTTGTTAGATTTGCATGTAATTATATTATTAACATGCCAAAAGTAATTGTTTACAACGATTTGATTTTTTTTTTCTCAATTATTTATGTAATTTATCGACGCCGAGTCGGAAAACATATGAACAGGGTTATAAACACTTTTTTTACTATAGCTACATGAACGTAGCTTTTTTTTAAGCAATTTAGGGCGAGTTTCACCACATAGCAGACTGCTATTGTGTACCAACTTAAAATTTTAAAAATGAAAGAAATTACCATTTGTGCCATCTGGCGAGTTCTGGTGAAGTAACTTATGTTCTTGGAAAGAAATTTCAATATGGTTGACCGGCAAAAGTGATTGTAAACAAGAATAAGACTGAATAGGTAAATTTTACTCCTTATAACTTTTCTTTCACTTAATTCACTCATTAATCATCACTTATTGATAAATAAACTTCTTAATTATCTTAATATAGTGCAGGTAACTGCAATTTATATTAATTTTTCTCATAAATATTATCTGTATGCTATGATTTATTTTGTTCAGGAGAATGAATAATCTTTTGCTACTGATTCTTTTTGACGACGATGATGATGATGATATTGTCAGAAGGTCTCGGATAATTCGTCCTCGAATGAATTGGTTCGATACTTTTGATGACGAAGATTTTGTACAAAGATTTCGCCTAACCAAAGCAATGACAAGGGTAGTTTTTGAGCAAATAGAGGCAAGAATAACTCCTGACTCACCACTGTATGTAATAAATTTAATATTAAGCGCATATCAATAGATTATTTCTAGGCATTTCAATTTCATGTACATTCATTTCAATTTTCAGCAATAATGCGATTCCACCAATGATCCAGATGCTTGTAGCTATGAGATTTCTAGCTACTGGATCATTTTACATCACAATAGGAGATTTTACTGGTATTAGCAAAACTAGCGTTTGGCGAATCGTGCATAGAGTATCAGAAGCAATTGCTGGATTGAGGGAACGTTACATCTATATACCGCCTTCTCATCAAGAAATTAGAGCTATTCATAGTCAAAATTTTAGTCAAGCCGCCTTTCCTCGTGTCCTGGGTGCTATCGATTGCGTCCATGTTCGGGTTTGTTCGTATGGTATGTATACATATACAATAACTCATCTTGTTATAATGCGATATATACATACATGTATATAATTTCAATCAATTATGTAAACTATTACAATTTAAGGTATCAATATTACAGGTGGAGAGTATGCAGAGTTATTCCGGAATAGGAAATCGTTTTTTTCAATCAACACTCAAGTCATTGTCAATTCGAGATTGGAGATTATAGATATTGTGTCACGTTGGCCTGGATCGGCACACGATGCTACCATATTTGACAATTCTAGAATAAAAAGACGATTCGAAAACGGTGAATTCTATAACTCATTGCTTGTAGGTGATTCTGCATATTCTCAAGTGCCATTTATTATGACACCATTGCACAATCCTATGACTCCAGCTGAAGTCCTTTATAATGAGTCACAAATTCGAACACGAACGATGGTTGAGAGATGTTTTGGTGTTTGGGGACGAATGTTCGCCGTTTTAACTATAGGTTCCAGGTTTTTTAAATCAGAGTTGAGTATGCATGCAATAATTGCATCCGCTGTGTTATATAATGTGACAAGAAGAGCAATTCCTCAATCGCTAATAAATCAAAGAGCTTATGATCAAATTCCTGAAACTCATCAGCAACTTATACAAAATCAGCAGAGACATATAATAAATAATTATTTTCATAAGTAAGTATTGAAAATTAATATATATTATGATTATTATATTATATTCCATGGTGGAAATATATCTACAACAAACTACAATTTTACACAACCATGCAAAATGTTGTCAAAAATTGTAATTTGTTGTAGAGTCACGTAGAAAGTTGTAGATATATTTCCACCAGGGTTGTAATTTATTGAGTCTACTCTGTTTCAGTTTACTTTGAATGGGTATCATTGATATGCTTTGATTGTGTACATTACATCTACTATACATCTATTTAGATTATTATCTGTAAAAAGATTTAATAAAATAATAACATGATAATGCAATAATAAGAATGTCGTTTACAAAGGTTTATAGATGTTTATTTATTTTTAACTGTGATAATAAAGTTATACAGTGTATATTAAACTTTTTTAATCATACATGTTGCCATTTTCACAAAAGTAATATTAAGATCTTTTTAACTCAAAAAAATACAAAATGTCGAGTTACTAAACTACGAATTAATAATTTTTTCATGTTTTGTACTAATGTTATTAATAATTAAATATGATTTAACATTTATTAATGATAGAACTTGCAATACTTATCGACTTAGAATCACAATCATATTGCATAGTAATACTTTCATCACGTGCATAAAAAATATATTTTTTTTCATAAAACTAAATAACATTTTCTTATACTAATTTGTTTTTTAACATATTAAATGCTGATCTACTAATAACAATACTTTTGCACATAGATCATTCTTTTTTGAAGAATACTAAACGTTATTCATAAAATTTTATGAAA